AAGAGTATCAGCGACCACAACTAGATTACTCTGCGTTATACCTATTATATCAAGTTCCTAACGTTTTGTACGTCGAACCTATTTTAGGACCGACTTAGTACAAATACAAGCCTCCACTGTGAAACCATTCCACAACAAGCTATCCATTACTGATTTTTTTTTCTTTTTGCTTTTAAATGCAACGGCTGATAGTTATGCTTTAGCGTTCATTAGAACGTGAAAAATTATCCACTATGGAATTCTTTTTCTTTTATGTTGGAATGTCATTGACATGCGTCTATTAAAGCATGAAAACTGTTCTTTATATACGTATTTTAGAACATTATTTCAGTATTCGTATCTGATTATATTCAGTGTCGGCTTCAATATTTTATTGTAGAATTTTTTTAAATGATCCTCGAAGCAATCTATATTAAAAACATTGCAGCCGGTATGAAAAAAAAACAAAAAAACAAAAAAAAACAATAGATAACGATTAGCACTGAATTTAAATTTCCAAGATCAAAGTTAACTAGGAAACAAAAAAAAACGAGACAGGTTTCTACACGTAAGAAGTGCGAGAGAAGAAACTGTTAGCATAGAACTTGCGGTTACATGTAACCATTTCAACTAGAAACTATTATTGTGGTACCCATATATATTTCTGTGTTTTTTATGTTTTTTAGTTTTATTACTGTTGCATTTCGATCGTGTAACGAAAATGGACATCTACAGAAAAGAAAACATTATCAGAATAGGTAATAACGTTAGATATTAAAATCTGAAGCTTATATAAATATATTATCCATAGACACTTGAGTATATACTGGAAATTTTAGCAACAATATATGGGTAAGGCATTTCTGGAGCGGAAACACTGATCTTGTATGCGATGATGGAACAATAACACTGATGCTTGACACAATTATTCGTAGAATTTTGATTATTGTGTATAGCAAACCATTCTTAAAGAAACCTCGGTTATGGCTATTGATGAAGGAGGTTATGGAAAAAAAAACATAAAAATATTTCTTATGTAAAGATCGTTTGGTTTTCTTCATTTTTTTTTTTTTTTTTTTGCCCATTAGGTTATTGACTTATTAATGCAGCTAAATATTCGTTCTCCACATTAAGATTTTTCCTTCCGCAGTGGGGAGAGACATTGCATTTTTCATTGCATGGTGAACTACGAATTGTAACTAACAACGTTCAACAAAAATGAAAGCATCCATAAGGAAAAACACCCATAAAAATTTGAATACAGATTTAGACAATTAAAATATTTCATTACATATTATATAAATTAAGATATTTTATATTTATACATTTTTTTATAGATACAAATATTTAAGTAAATGCTTATTAAGTAAATGTTTATAATAAACAGTATTAAACCGGCTTGAATGTCCAGGAAATCTTCATTGAAAATATTGGTCCACCGACAGGATTCGAACATATATTCTATACGGAACCGTCATATAGCCGAACATGGCTTTTAACCGATTCGGCCACAGATGACCACTTGGTTAGCACCATCGAATTTACTGCTTTTAAAGTCCAATCATCTATGAATATTATTTTAATTATTATATATATTATGTATATAGGATACAGGTTCGAATCCTGTCGGAGGGCGAATATTTTCTATGCAGATTTCTCGAACATTCAGGCCGGTAAATGTTGTTTAAAACTGTTTATTATGAAAAAGAGCATTTACTTAGATATTTGTATCTATAAAAAGAAAATGCCTTAAGATAATGTCGGACTTTATCCATTTCATAATCTATCTCTCTCTCTCTATATATATATATATATATATATATATATATATATATATATATATATATATATATATATATATATATATATATATATATATATATATATATATATATATATATATATATATATATATATTTTTTTTTTTTTTAGAGAGGTTCACCTTTTACAAAGCACGGGGGCCACTAGAGGTATAGGTTTATGTTTTGGGGGTAATTTGCGTGTATAGAAGTTGAAGATAATGTTAAACCTGACACTGAATAGGTTAAGAGTGTAGTGGTCGGTTGGAAGTTGGTTCCACAGAGCCGTGGTTCGCTGGAAGAAGCTGCTCGAGTAGTCTGACCGATGAAATATGAAGAGAATGTGGCTAGTTTGCTACTATGTATGCGGCATGGCGTGTTCTTGCTGTGAAGGTTTGCCCCGGCGGGAACAAGGAATGAAGTCCGTCCGACCACATTCAGGTAGAAGTAGCAAGAGTCTAGCCATATCTCGCCTGTGGGAGAGAGATTGAAGGCTGGAGAATAATACGTCACCCACGCTTTTGAACTCGATCAAGTCTGGAGAGAGAGAGAGGTCGTGATAGCACTCGCCCAAATATGGCAAGAGTAATCCATTTTCAGCATGATATATCTATTGTAAAGGCGGTACAGGGAGCCGATCATTTCGCTTGCATCCTTTTCAATGGATCGTATATACGCGTTCCATTTTAGGTCAGGTGTGTGTTTGAGGCCCAACGGTCTTTCAAGGCAAAGTGCTTCCACAAGAGGGCCTCAGTTCATCCTAATTGGTGGTAGTTCGTGCTCAGATCAGCGATGATTGAATGTAACTAGCTTAAGCATCGCGGCCTTGGATGTAACAAGCCAGTTTTTACCCCATTTGATACAATTTTGTACAAAATCGTCCGAGAGATCAATCGCCAAACTCTGACCATCAAGAGTTTCAGAGGTTCACCCGTATACAGTCGTAACATCGGCATAGATGTTTACACAGGATTTGAGTATATTCTTAGGCAGATCATTTATGATGATTAAAAAAAAAGGTTGTCTAGTGGAGCTGGAACTTTTGATAAGCATTTATCAAGGCAGTAGGCCAGAAAGAAGTCTAGGGATTGGCCTCATTTCCAGTCGTGTCCGGGGACCGGGTAATTTCTCCGATGATCTGGATTAGCTCACAGAAGATGGCGAAGTCTCTGCAATATCTGCCTTCAATATTGTTTTTTTCGGAGTGGACTAGCCACTCTCTATGATGGATATTGAGGTAACCGCAGATATGAAAGCGGTCCGAGTGGAATTGAGTGGGGCTACTGCCCTCGAAGATTACCGACCCTTCGTCCTGAGGACGTGGAAAGAAACAGGCAAATTCTTCCTTGATGTCCCATACTCTATTGAGTGGGTTACACATAACCCCGTCTTTGGTATTGGGCGTTATTTCCAGTTTAGACCTCAACAAGGCTAGTGGTGGAGACGGGATCAGCCATTGCCTTGAAGAAATGCGCGCCTGAACTGGCGCCTGAACTGGAGCCCGCCCTTTCTAAACTATACAACTACTGCCTCAAGGAATCTTGTTTTCCTGACTGCTTGAAGACCTCTTCGATTGTTCCTGTCTTCAAGAACTCTGGCGACCCCTGTGACCCTTCCAACTACCGTCCAATCAGTCTCCTACCCCTCTTCGGCAAAGTCTTCGAAGCCCTAATCAATACCGAGGTGGTTAACCACCTCACATCCCATGATCTGCTCCTAGACAAGCAATATGGCTTCCGCTTTACCCGATCTACAGCTGATGTGCTTACGGCCATCACTGAAACTGTCTACCGAGCTCTTCAAAATAACGGGGAAACTCGTGCCGTGGCCCTAGACATCTCCAAAGCGTTTGATAGGGTTTGGCATGCCGGCCTTCTTCATAAGCTCCAGGGTTATGGCATTTCGGGTCGATTGTTTGATCTAATACAATCATTCCTGTCAAACCATGAATTGAAGGTCGTTCTCAACGGATTCTCCTCCAGTTCCTATCCCACGAACGCAGGTGTTCCTCAAGGCTCCATCCTAGGCCCCACTCTGCTCTCTCTTAGTCACCAAAGAGATCCTTTCCTGCCCTCCATTAGAATGTCTGACGCTCAACTTCTCGAGAGCACCTCTCTGCGGCTGCTCGGTCTCACGTTGACTGCTGACCTGAGATGGAACAAATACATTGAGTCAATTGCTTCGTCCACCGCAAAGAAAGTTGGCTCCCTGTGCCGCGCCAGGAAATTTTTCTCACCGGAATCGATCCTCCAGATCTACACATCAACAATTCGCCCTTGCATGGAGTATTGCTGCCATATATGGTCTGGTGCTCCTTCTGTTTGCCTCGGGGTTCTTGATAGGCTCCAGAGGCGGATATGCAGTATAATTGGCCCTTCTCTGGCATCTCGTCTACAGTCACTTTCTCACAGACGCGCCGTCTCCTCTCTCTGTTTGTTCTACAAATACTTTCATGGCAATTGCTCCGAAGGGCTGCAATCGCTGGTTCCCAACTTGTACTCTCTCTCTCTCTCTCTATATATATATATATATATATATATATATACATATATACAAAAAAAAGACTAGGTGTTACAAATTGTGAAGGATATATATATATATATATATATATATATATATATATATATATATATATATATATATATATGCATACAAGTTTTGTTAAAAAAAAGACGTAAACGGTACTGTTTTATATAATTTTTCTTGTGTTTTTATAATTTTCATCTTTTCTGGATATAAATTATGTAGAAATTCCTCTAACGTGTACCCATTATCAAGGTTGATTTCATTTGTACATTTAACTGGATCTATGGGTAGTTTATATATATATATATATATATATATATATATATATATATATATATATATATATATAGAGAGAGAGAGAGAGAGAGAGTTATAGGAACGTTTTGGCTGTGTTCTTAGTTGACATTATTGAGTGTTTGTTCCTTTTTTTAATTAATAATGCTTCTATTATTTTTCTCCTTCTTTGCATATGGATGATGTTATTATCTTTGTATTGTCAACAATTATGTTACGGATAGAGTTTGGTTGGTTACCATTTGTATTTAAATGAGACGTAATTGAACTAAGTCCATAGAGATATAACGGGAGTCTTTATATAAAAGATAAATGTATAGTTTTAAGTTTTTATCTATGGGCAAAAGGATATGACCTTATGTAAAAACTGAGGACAACATCGACAGTCGATTTTGTGCTGCTTCAAGGAATGAAGATAGAAACAGTGAAAAAAATGAAGATGAGAAGAATGAAAAAGTAACGAAAATAATAGAAATGAAAAGTGAAAGACGATGAAAGAAATGAATAAACGACACCGAGAAGAATGAAAAACGAATGAACAGAACAGGAAGGAAAAAAATCTGGGAAAAAAAAAAGCACAAAAATATAGAAAGAGAAAATTAAATCTCTATTTTCGAAATCTATCGCTACTCTTCAGAGTAGGGAGGAGTAAAAGGTATGTTTCGTAAGATCAATCACGTGATATTCATGGTAAAGTTGCAGTAAATATGTCGGTTGAATTTCAAAAGAATCCACCAAATGGATTGGATTACACGCTAAAAATTTCCTTGCCACTCGTTTCCGCCATTTTGTGCAAAAGACCTAATAAAATTCTAAGTAGAAACTATTTTCAGCACAACGAAAAAAAAAAAATGATTGAAACGTTAGATTGCAAGAAGAAAAAGTATGGTTTAGTGTAAGGGAAATAATATTTCGATCTTATCCGTAAAGACGTCTGATATATGACCTTGCATAGATGAATCAAGGTCATATTATATCACTTTCCTTATAGAACTTTTCCAGCGGGTTTTTATGCCGATTAGAAAAATAGTAATTAAATATTCAAAACCTCAAAATAATGTATTAAGTAAATAATTTTTTATTTATTTCGTAATCCCAGATGTGTAAATACGTGGAACTCGGCAAATAAAAGTCTGGATTATTTAAAACTCTTTGGTAAAAATGACTGTTTTGAGAACGGGTAAGAAGGGAGATTATATTAAAAGAATAAGATAAGAAATAACGAAAAAAATTAGTTTGAGCATTGTAAATGTCACCTTTAAGTGACATGACATTGGTTCCAGCAAACATTGGAACGCCGCAATAAGTCTAACAATGTCATTCATAACGACTGTAGCAAAATTAAGAAGTGCTCGAATAAAAAAAAAAAGTCTTTGGAATTTTTTGCCAATTGTATATATGTATATATATATATATATATATATATATATATATATATATATATGTATGTATGTGTGTGTGTGTGTGTGAGTGTGAAACTCAGTTGGAAGTTAAAATGGACAGAAAGACCTGATCAGTACTGTTCAACAAGACGTGTTTAGAAGAATTCTTACTGTCAAAAATAAACCTTATATTATATATAAATACATGAATTTTAATATATTTTATTCTTATCCGTTATCTATATATACCCGAACATTTAAGTAAATGCTGTTAATAATAAGCAGTATTAATAAGTTTTGCCGGCCTGCACGTCTGTGAAATCTCAAAGAATATATGTGTCCTCCGACAGGAATCGAACCTGTATCCTACATGGAACAGTCATATAACTTGACGAGTTATACCAGTTTAGCTACGAAGGAAAGCCTGGGTCGTAATTTCGAGTTTAGTGTTCTTAAACTACCAAATAAACAAATGAATTTACACTAAGACCGGCATTTGTTAATCATTTGTTTTTCACCAAATACGCTTAGAGCAGATATGATCTTTCGAGGGAAATCATGGGAAGTCTGTATTTTAAAAGCAGGCTATATGACAGTTCCGTGTAGGATACAAGTTCGATTCCTGTCGGAGGACGCATATTTTCTATGAAGTTTCTCAGACGTTCAGTCCGGTAAATATTGTTAATACTGTTTATTATAAACAGAGCATTTACTTAAATATTTGTGTATATATAAATAACGTGTAACAATAAAATATATGGAAATAACTGTCGGACATAGATGTATCCATGAAATGACAATTTGAATAAAACCAAATTGAAACTTTTTCCAAGCCGACGTGTTTTGACCTCTGATAGACTTTATCAAGGGAAATCTAATTATTTTATTTGGCAACAAACACACAAAACTAAAAACGTTGTTAGTTTTTGAATATGCAATTTTTTGAATATCTTTAGGATTTTTAAATTTACAGTTTATTCGACCTTAACTTACATCATTTAGTATCCACCATGAGAACTAAAAATATTCGTAGCAATAATAATTCTGGAGCAATGAAATAAACCTTCACAAATGGCCCTTAAAATGTATTGGGGAAATTTGCAGAAATTAAAAACAAACGTGTTTATGAACGCAAAAAGTATCATATAATGAGCATTTTTCAAATACATTTGTCATACGTATAAACTAATTCCACACATTCGGCCCAAAGAATACGACACTTATTAACAGAGAAAGTAACTTACTTAGACAAAGAAATTCTTGTGAGTGCCACGATTGAATCTGATAAAAACATAAATCTGCGTTTAAGAATGTATCTAACACTAGCAATCGTATTCCGCTGGTCGATCAGAAAAAGCGTTCAATTAGAATGGAGCAAAAACAGCATCATGTTTAGATGTAACAGAGTTTATCTTCTTCAATTAAATTAAAGAACTTTCATTAAAAAAAAAACATTTTGAATGAATGCAGTTACTGATATAACAAAAGTAATCCGTATTTATTCAATCGAAGTTAGCCGAGGACATTAGGGGGTAAAACAGACAACATGAAGACCCACTTCAGACCACAATTATTTTGGAGTTTTTGAAATTCAATTTGTCAGTGTGCTACCAGGGATGTAAAAGAGGATACATTTATAAAGCAATTGTTAAGTTTGATGAAAATTGGTTGAAAGCTCAACGATAAATAAGAAAGAAACCAGTAAAAATCGCCATTTTTCGTTATTTACGCGGGTTTTCACTATATGGGTGGACGCAATTATCAAGTTAAATGACTGCTAAACAATCAACTTCGTGTTGGCTACAATTGGTTGAAGTTTGTATTAGATTGCTTGAAAATTGACGGAGTTTTAGTTTAAAATTTGTGTTGAAATAGACTTTTCGTTTTTCGAGGTTTTTCGCTAAACGCAATGGCGTAGAAATTAAAATGAACTAAAGTTGAGCTTGTCATGATGTAAATAACCTGCATACCGAGTTTGAATGAAATCTGAGGAAAAAAAAAGTGGAGTTTATCGATTTTGACCGGCGTTATCGATTATTATTTTTTTTAAATTATCGATTTTTTTCTCTAAGATCTCGACAGGGCTTCTAATTCTTTTAGAACGACCTCACTATGTAGGTAGAAAAGGTCTGGCGAGAAGACGTCTCTTTGTCTTATGCAACAATTAAGAATTAAAAAGAACAGCATGTTGTCGACTTATCTTCCAGTTCACATTCCTTCCCCAGTCTTTGGAACAATAGATGTTTAGCCGTTGGTTCCTGTTTATAGTCTCTTCTAAAGTCTTCTCAGACTCATTTATTCCCAGTGGCTCCTTGCATCTTAGTGGCATTATCGCCTTACTTGGTGTGAACTAATTAAATAAAGAAGAAATGAACCCCCAAAATGATAGGAAAAAAACCTACGACATTCAAAAATTGCTTACGAATTGGTTTTCCCACTTGAAAGTTTATGTTACTAGTTTAGGAAATTTGAAATTACTCATTTACTGTATTTAAATATTTAATAGATTCGATGGAATTTGAACCTCGCTCTCCGATTCCTCACTCCGAGCCGCTATCCATTAGGGGTTCCACTCCGGATTTTTAATAATAATACTAGTCCAAATAACACATATTGGCTACAAAAACATTACATTATCACATCGATTAATTTGTCATTTTAACCGATAAGTTAAACGCTTATCACAAAGAAATATCAAAGAATAAAACATCTGAGAAATATTTACCAATGACAGAAAAATATTATAGCATGTAAAATGTAAAAAACGGCTACAACTGCAAGAAGCGTTGATCATAAAAAAAAGAAAACAACAAAAGTACCCAACATCAATGAAATATTATCAAATTTAGGAAGAATTATACTGAATATATTTTATGAATAGAAACAACAATAAAACGAACTGTCAGGTGAAGACAACGGAGCGTGATTTGAAATTAATGAAACCGTCAAAAGCATAAGCTTTTTGTTACTAGTTTAGGAAATTTGAAATTACTCAATTATTGTACAATTATATTTAAATATTTAATAGATGTCGGAGACAAGGAAAATGGTGAGAAATGTAGTATAAATAAAAACCAGGTGTTCAAACTATATATTATTTAACCAAATATGTTTCAACACACACACACACACACACATACGCACACACACATATATATATATATATATATATGGTTCGTTCGTTCGTTCGGCAGCCGTCCGTCTAGAGAGACGATGGAGTAGCGTGGAGCGCTACGAGCCTGGGCGGGATATATGGAGAACTAGGGCTGCCCAGACGTCTAGTTCCCCCCTCTTGGCCTTGCTAGCAGAGTCCAAAGGAGAGGATAAACCAATTTTGGTACTAGCACGGCTGCAGGAGTTGCCGGAAGGTAGCACAAAGTGGGGCTTCACTCCGGATTTGTGTAGGGTTCACTCCTTAGCCTTTCTTCCCTCTCGACGATTTCCACAAGGCATTGGAGCTATTTGACGCATAGCTAGGGTGTGGTTCATGTCCACACACTAGTGGGCCTGCATCTCGCATGTTTAGGGAGCCAAAGTTTAGTCTTAGACCGGAAGTTCCTCGGTTGCCATGTGTCGCCACGACTCCCTTTTTCGCGTTGCTGGCTGGATATATATATATATATATATATATATATATATATATAGCCAGCCAATATATATATATGTTTCGTCTGACTGAAAAATTGAAAGGGATAAATTCTGTATTAGTTTTTCGACAGCTTTCTTTTTTTTTATTAGCTTTCATAATTACATTTCTATTTCTGACACGAAATCAGTCCACACCGGGTTTGATAGGACAGATGAACGATATCTTCGTCGGCCAAAATAGCCTATTCCCCATATGAGGTGATTTGGACTTTATTGTTTATTAACTATTTGGTCTGTACATTGAGCTTTATCTGTAGATCAGTTTTAATATTTTATATTACTAGGATCCACTTGGATTATATACCAACGTATTTGTTACTTTTACTACATATATATATATATATATATATATATATATATATATATATATATATATATATATATATATATATATATATATATATATAGATACACCTAGTGAGCAAGACAAACCTACCTAGGTTTCACCTAAACGGATCGTCAGGAAAGTTTGGCAGAAGTCCATGTTTGTAGCTCTTTCTTTTTTAAAACCTTTTTTCCCTCGAGATTGATTTGATTAGCAAATCAAAAATTCGAGGGTTTTTCGAAACGAGTCTAGTTTTCTATATATATATATATATATATATATATATATATATATATATATATATATATATATTTTAGTTTATGCAAAACTAGGTAATCCGTATGGGTAGACCCAAGGAGGATGATATCCAGAGAGCTCAATGTAAATTCAGAGTAAATATGTTTGAATAAAAAACAGACCACTTTAAGGTTCCATGTAATAAATTATTTCACCACAGCCCTTTTAAATGGCTCTGGATCATCAGACTTTACTTCCAAAAGTTGAAATGAAAAAAAAAATGTGGTCTGTTTTTATTCAAACAAATAATATATATATATATATATATATATATATATATATATATGTGTGTGTGTGTGTGTGTGTCTATGCTGCGTGATTTCGTGTAGGTATGAGTGTGTGTACGTAATAATATATGTTGAGAAATGTGTGTGTAAGAATGTGAGCTGAAACGTTGTCGGCCTGCTGATGTAACAACTCATCCCCAAATTCTGATGTTAGGTTCTTTGATCTGGTCCTATGAAGATTCACGTGAAAGATGTAGCCTTCCATCAGATAGAAATGAGTGAATAATATCCACTTTACTTCTCTCTTAGAGAAATCGTACTGCACATAAAACACTCTCAATGTTTACAATTATGTAAAATATGCCCATTGATTGAAAATCGATCTATAGATCTGGAAGGGGGAAAAATCAACATCGTGGGAAGAGGCTGTTGAACTATTTGTAAAAAAGAAACTAGCGCTCACCATTTGGCAAGAAGATACTTTTTCCAAGCAAAAGATAAGGTGCCTTAAAAGACGGGTGCGAGCGGAAATGAATAACTGACCATTTTTAATCAGTTATGTGCCATGTATGATACACGCTTAGGCGATCATGTATCTTTCGATACATGACTGATGAGGCAGATTTTTTTCCCGCAGTAGGTTGCCATTTCTTTCTGCGGTAGACCAGTTGCCATCTACGGTGATAGAACCCGGTCTATCCTGCTATTAACCCATAGTTGGTGGGTGCGGGGAGAAAGTGGATTCATACCTTTCCCAATGGTATTAGCTCGTAAGTGAATGTAATAGATAGATAGATAGATAGATAGATAGATAGATAGATAGATATCAACAGATTGTGATAGATAGATAGATAGATAGATAGATAGATAGATAGATAGATAGATATCAACAGATTGTGATAGATAGATAGATAGATAGATAGATAGATAGATAGATAGATAGATAGATAGATAGATGCTAATAGACTGAGATAAATAGATGTAAACAGACTGAGATAGATCAGCCATGTGTGATACATGCTTAGGCGATACATGACTGACGAGGCAGATTTTTTGCCGCAGTAGGTTGCCATTTCTTTCTGTGGTAGACCAGTTGCCATATAAGGTGACAGAATCCGGTCTGTCCTGTCATTTACCTATAGCTGCTGGGTGCGGAGAGAAAAAGGATTCATACCTTTCCCAATGGTATAAGCACGTATGTGAATGTAATGGATAGATAGATAGATAGATAGGTAGATATCCGCAGATTGTGATAGATATAGAGATAGATAGATAGATAGATGCGAATAGACTGAGATAAATAGATGTAAACAGACTGAGATAGATCAGCCATGCGTGATGCATGCTTAGGCGATACATGACTGACGAGGCTCATTTATTCCCGCAGTAGGTTGCCATCTCTTTCTCCGGTAGACTAGTTGCCATCCAAGGCTATAGAAGCCGGTTTGTCTTACTCTTTACCTATAGCTGGTGGGAGAAGAAGAGGATTCTATTCATACCTTTCCCAAGGCTATTAGCACGTCAGTGAATGTAATGGATTCGGCTGGAATTTGAACTCGGCTCTCCGATTCCTCAATCTAAGCCGCTATCCATTACTCCACCTATTACTTATTAGGCTGTTCAGAAAATACATTCCCCCTTTTAAATCAACATTTTAATTGTATCCTAATATATTATTATAATAGCTGCAGGAAAATATATTCCTCCTTGTGAATGATTAAAGTTAAATGTTTGTTAATTTTATGTTGATCGCTTTAAGAATTTAACTTCAAACATTAAATAGACTTCGTCTTGAAACTGAAAAAAAAGGAAGAGGTGCGTTCTTTTTTTTTTCTTTTTCTCTGGCCATAAGGCTTCTCAAAGAGAAGAGAGCATTAGCAGAGGATATCGTGAAGGATTCATTTGTGTTCGGACAGTAAGGCGCTGGTTTCTGGAATTAGGCAGATACAAGTTTTCATGTTGAAGGAGAAAAAGGATGTCATTGGCAATCATCAATAGCTGAAAGCACTAGTTAGACAAAACCCACCTCCAAATGACAGAGCAATGTTTCAATTTCTTCATTATCTATCTATCTATCTATCTATCTATCTATCTATCTATCTCTGTTCAAATCTATCTATCTTCGTCTGTTCATATCTATCTTTCTTGGTCTGTTCATATCTATATCTCACTATATCTATATATCTCACTCCCACTTCTATCTATCTATCTATCTATCTATCTATCTCTGTTCAAATCAATCTGTCTATCTTGGTCTGTTCATATCTATCTTTCTTGATCTGTTCATATCTCTCTATGTATATATCTCTATCTCTATCTATCTATCTATCTATCTATCTATCTATCTATATATATATATATATATATATATATATATATATATATATATGTGTGTGTGTGTGTGTGTGTGTGTGTGTGTGTAGTTCAGCCTGTTAATAGCTATCTATCTCAGTTTGATCATATCTCCCTATCTTTAAATCGAGGTCGGCTTGTTTATATCTATCTATCTATCTATCTATCTATCTATCTATCTAAGACTGTTGATTACCGATTGATATCAATGCAACTTTCTATCCATCTATTTCATACTGTTCGTATCTGTGTATCAGTCTATATTTCTTTCGCAGCTTGTTCATATATGTATGTATGTATGTATGTATGTATGTATCTATCTAACTGTATTAGGTAGTAGGTAGTTCATT